GCCCGGCCCGTGACGACCGGCTGGCCGCTCTGGGAAGCCAGCGAGAGGCTGGTGGGGCTGGGGGGATCCGGGGGGAGCCCCTCGCCAGCCCCCACCGGTTTCGGACAATAAAAGTGACGGTGGTGAAAGGGAGGAGGTCGCCCGTCAGCTCCTGTGCCGGCGCTGCCCCGGGTCGGGGTGGGTGCAAAATGGAGCTGTCGGAGGAGGCAGAGCACGGCCCCGCGGGGCCCCCCGGCAGCCTGAGCGGGGGCAGCCCCCAGCCCCCAGCCGCAGCCCTGGATTTTGGGAGGCAGCGGGCGCGTTTGTGGGGCAGACTCGGCTTCCTGCTCCAGCACGGCTGGGCCCCACGGGCTGCGGCACCGTGCGGTGTCCCCCGTGCAGTGGGCGTGCACGCGTGCTGTACAGTGCAGCGCGCCGTCCCCTGCACGCACACACACACGCGTGCACAAGCAACGCAGTGCGCCCCGCTTTACAGTTGCGGCAAAGCCGCTGCCCTGCCTTGCAAAGACATGCATACGCTGCATTGCAGCACGCCCTGCCTTGCGCATGCGTGCACACGCTGCAGTGCACACACACTCCGCCTTGCACACGCTGCAGTGCAGAAGCCCCGCCTTGCACATGCATGCACCCCCCCGCATGCTGCAGCGCACATGCTGCAGTGCGCACGCACCCCACCTTGCACGCCCATGCACATGCTGCAGTGCACACAGCTCGCCTTGCACGCCCATGCACACACTGCAGTGCACACAGCTGGCGTTGCACGCCCATTCACACACTGCAGTGCACACACACCCCACCTTGCACGCCCATGCACACGCTGCAGTGCACACAGCCAGCGTTGCCCCCCCGTTCACACGCTGCAGCGCACACACCCCGTCTTGCACGCCCGTTCATGCACTGCAGTGCACACACACCCCGCCTTGCACGCCGTTCACATGCTGCAGTGCACACACACACTGCCTTGCACGCCCGTTCACACGCTGCAGTGCACACACACCCTGCCTTGCACACCCGTTCACACGCTGCAGTGCACACACACCCTGCCTTGCACACCCATGCACACGCCGCAGTGCACACACACCCCGCCTTGACGCCCATGCCACACGCCGCAGTGCACACACACCCCGCTTTGCACGCCCATGCACACGCTGCAGTGCACGCAGCCGGCCTTGCACGCCCGTTCACACACTGCAGTGCACACAGCTGGCCTTGCACACCCATGCACACGCCGCAGTGCACACACACCCCGCACACAGCCGGCCTTGCACACCCATGCACACGCCGCAGTGCACACACACCCCGCTTTGCACGCCCATGCACACGCTGCAGCGCGCACGCGCGTGCCCCATGTTCCCGCGCGCGCGCAGACACGCGGCACCCAACATGGCGGCGGCGCCGGCGGCTCGGCTCAGCCCCGCCCCCGGGGCGCGG